CAGGGTAAAGTTCAGCGATGCAGATTGTGATAAGTCCTCAATTTGTTTGTGGCAATATTCCCGTTCACCATAAAACTTTGTGGCATATATCGATCGATTCTGATTCATCATTGAACAGCACAGTATAATATTGCCGCCATTTTATTAACATATTCATAGTAGTTCACATTAGTTACGTATGCTCTTTGTTATTACAGCATATGGATGCATACTTTCATTACATAAGACAACTTACCAAGTTTGGTGAAGGTGTGAAGACGAAAGCAAAACGAAAGACTAGAATTTGATTTGACCATCCGGACTTTATACTCTAAATTTGTTGACGATCCAAGCATTGTGAATGAGAAAGAGAACCTAATCAAAACTATCAATGGTGANAAGCATTGTGAATGAGAAGGAGGACCTATTCAAAACTATCAATGGTGAAAGATTATCATTTAATACTCCTTGGAGAGAAGTTGAATCCTTGTTGATGCCTATTATGCCTACAAATCATGCTTATTGGATGTTGGGGTAGCTTGACATTAATAATCGGACCCTGTACATATTCAATTCAAGCAACAGATCGTATAAGGATACTAAGGTTAGTGAAGGGGTCTTACCGCTTGTGAAGACTCTTACACATTTGTTAAAAGTGGTCGGACTATGGATGGAAACTACTGATGATATTGGTGACATATCCAGTGAACTGCATATTAACATTGTTAGTGGTTTACCTCAACAACAAAATGCGTAAGGTTCATTATGGGCATTACAAGTTTTGCTACTTTTCATCAATATTTTGAGGTTACTTATGGTTTGTCTATGTTAAATATTACAGGCACGACTGTGGTGTTTTTGTCATAAAGTATGCATGGTATTTGTTGCACAATGATCTTGCCAAAATGCCAATGTCATTTGATGCTACAAATGCCATGCTTGAAATTGTTGCATTGTTGTTTAAAAATAGACAACTGCGGCAGGTTGGAAGGGGAAAATCAAGTCAGATGACTGAAATACTGTTGATGGAATTGTTTTGATGATAGATTAGGTTGATGATATACAAATTCAAAGGCATTTCTTATGTTATTGTGTCTATCTGATACTATACATAATCCGTCTCTCGATCCATATGCCCTCTTCAACATCTCAAAAAACCATTTCCATGACTTATCATTTTTATTATCCCAACACCAAAAGCTAGTATGAAGATGTTATTGTTTTCATCTTGTGTATAAGCAGTAAAGAGTGTACCCCCACAGTGGCCATTTAAATATGTGCCATCAACTACAATGACCGGCCTACAATATTTTCAACCAGCAATCGATGCACCCAAAGCCATAAAACAATATTTAAATCTATTTAAATGATCTGTTTCTATTCTTGT